CATGTAAAGCTGGACTGTAAGTAAGAAGTCAACTTAAAAGATGTATGGAGACAGAGTGCAGAGGGAGAGTGGTTGTGTGATGATAGAGGGAGAGGTGAGAGGGAGGAGAAGGGGGCGGTTTATCGCAGGAGAAGAGGGGGAGTGAGGATGGGTGGAGGGGCTGCAGTGGTTCAGCGCTGAGAGTTATTTAATTGGAGAGTGACATTGGGAGCTCGGCTCGTCAGCGCTTCCCCCATCAATCAGGCGCGGTCAGGAGATGCCCGAGGTGATGGGGCCCGCATCCCGCTCCCTCCGGGATCCCACACGGCCCCGGCATTTAACCGCCACTGCCTCCATTACACCTCCTTACAACCCTCCACATCAGGATGCTGTGACCGCCCGCTCACCTGAGCCCACAGAGTTTTGTGCTCCCCTGCGACACGCCACTCGATGGGGCTTTTTGTTCACAAACTCACAAGAAAAATTGTGCTGGGATAGTGCAGCAGCTCATTAATGAAATATGACCTCCAAGAACAATCAGACTTCTGCCACCGTCTACTACAGCTCAGCTGCCGCACATGCTCCACCTGGTCAGATTGTGCTGCCGGGACAGAAAGACAAAGATAAACGGGGACTGACGCTCATAACAGAAACGTAAGTAGATGCATTGATCACCGGTGTTAATTGCTGGTCAGTCTCTAACCTGCTACCAGACAGTTGACATTATAATTCCAGTTACTGCCTCTCACTGTAATTGGAAACAGATGATTGTAACATTGACTGGCCAATTTCAGGCCTAAACAAGGTATTGATTTCCCCAGTGGACTTTTAAAGAAAACACGTTTGCTGTGCTCACAGCTAAAGAGCCACCATAACACACGCCAGGTTTTGGGAACATCACGGCTCAGACAGAGCGCTAAGCAGAGTCTGGCACCGCTCTACGAACAAGGCGAGGAGAATAATGATGAAATAGCCACACAAATGATCCGCTCTCGTCTTAATACGTGCACGCAGAAGAGAAAATCAACGGTGAAACATGGAGAATATCCTCGCACTTTAATTCGCTTTGATTCAAGTTTTTGAAGGTTTATGAAAATAGAAGTCACATGCGGCGTCGACCTTCGGGTCTTAAGTGCTGGTGGAGCAATGACCTTTTTCACATCGTGATCTTGACAGTGTGATGCTGATTCATCCTCAAACTGAATTCCATTTGGTGGCTGTTCTGATTCATCTTTGAGTCCTTCTCCGCTCCGTAATTGTACGGAGACATTTGCACAAAAGTGAAAATGCCCTCTTAACTGTCTTTTTTTTTTAAATTTGAAATCTTTTGTTGATTGATTTTTGTTTTCCAGAAACATCAGGAACAGTGTTTGTGCCAGCGAGGCTCAGCCTGTGTGGGTTTCGCATTGCACACAGTCTGTGAACATGCATTTCACTACATGGAGTTCATACGGCTGCAGAGAGCCGGGGATCAGAGGCAGCAGAGGGGCCTTGATGTTCAAGGGACAAGGCCGGGGAGTTGACGTCCCCCCCCGACTCCGCCACCATGACCAAAATACAAAAGCCCTTGCTTATTTGCATATGCTGCATCAAAACATTCCCTCTCTTCCACTTTGAGAGCAGGGATTTGGACTAATCATCCGGCTAGTATTGAGTGATTACATTTTCATCAGATGCAATGTAAGAGGGTCGAAAGATCAAGTGAACTAATGGATGACCTAATCATGGAGGATTGGCTGTATCGATTCAGATGGTCATATCCTCATTGTCTGCCGGGGCCAGGGGAGCGAGTGGAGGATACGATCCCTCATCGGTTTGAATCCACCATATTCAAGAAACTCTCATTCAGATTACACTAATTTAGCCGGTACCTCTCCTGTTCCCCGGAGGGTTAAATAGATTACGGGGGAGGAATGGCAATGTTGCTGAGTTGCAGCTTAGAACTTGTCTTCCAGAGGGTTCGACTTCACATAATTTACTGTAACAGGTTTTTATCAACTCTACTCCCTTTTTAGGTTTTTTTTCTCTCATATTTCCCTACGAGGAGATACTGCAGAGTGCAGGGCTGCTGCATATGCACCCTCCATATATAAACTGCCTTAATCCTCATTGATATACGGTGTGTTGAAAATGTTGACATGCTTGCAGCTGCAATTTTGCACACGAGCAAAATTATGACTTGGTGGTCGGTGACACTGGCTGCCAATGCTGCAGAGACAGTCATTCTTCAAGGACGGTCTTCTGCATGTGTGTGAATAATCAATGTTGCTGAGAGTTTATCATGAACTCGTGGCATCTTTCATACAGCGTCACTGATATCACCTCTGCAAAGCGCACGCAGGAGTGCAGCGTCGCTCGTCTCTCCTCGAGAAGGGCGAGACAGAGGAGCCTTAAAGAGGAAAAGAAATCTGGGTAAATACTTGAGATTGAGAATAGGTGTAGATAACCGACAAGTACAGAGGTCATTCTCAGCAATTTCCCTCCAGACGTGTCACAGCAGGTTCTGAAAGAGAAACGTCTCACTGCAGACAGTCATGTTCATTCACCTCAGTTTGTGTCGACTGAGACAGCATCCTGATCCGAATCCTAATGACACACCAACTTGCGAGCATTCAGCAGTCTGTGTGTCACAGAGCGAGAGAGAGAGAGAGCAAGAGAGAGAGCAAGAGAGAGAGCAAGAGAGCCACGACAGCTCAGGCTGTGCTCTCCATTCCCTTTCAGTCCTGCACCTACAAAATCCCTACAAAAGGGAAACGAGGCCGCCAGATGAGATCCTTCTTGTCAATATAGCCACCATTACGCTTTATACTTCAATACAAACTGCATGGAAGTGAAGGATCTCCTCTCTCACTGACCCAAAGTAATATGAAATATTGAGAGTTTCATTTTTGCATATGACAGACACCTAAAAACAGAGAATATATTCATAATATTTGGCTTACAGTCATGAGGTGCCTGGAGACAAGACTGCATATCTGCTACATGTGTAAAGGACAAACAAGATTGAATTTAAAAATGAAATGTTATTACATAAAACACTGTGTAAGAACTGTTGGGTTCCTCCATAACCTTCACTGCATAAATTGCCTTGAGATAATGTTATCATTTGGCACTATACAAATAAAATTGAAATGAATTGAAATGTTTCCATTATCAAACATCTCTTTAAGCTTTCTGTGATGGGATGAAAAAAACTAAATCCAAGCCAAAGCCAAACCACAACATCTGACTTTCCAAACTGTAGCTGAATACACAAATTAGGATTCAGCCGTCATATTCTGTTTGACTAAATGGCTTTAGCTTATTGCTATAGCCTGAGCTGCCTTTCTCAATGAGCAGCCTGATGGAATCCCACATGGAAAGACTAATTGTTGGAAAAAGCAAACAGGAAAGAACACAGCATAGCTACACCTTTGTAGATTAAACTCTAAGCACTAACGACACCAACTCACTATCAAAAGGTGAAACGCTGCAGCCTTCCTCATTGAAAAGAATGTGACTACAACTTCCCATTGTTCGTGATAACCGCTGTAAATCCCAGTCGACAAAAGCCGCTATACCGTCTATGACGGATGGGTCATAGACGGTATGGCACTTTATTTGTTTTGTTTCTTCTTCAGTGTTTTAAGAAATCTGCACGTGGTTACATATCGGACCATATCTGTATTCATGTATTCACCTCTAGTTTATGTGTTGTACCTGCAGAGTCAGGCTTTTCAATTAGGACTTCCTTGAAAGGTGGCACATATTCCGGGTCTTGACAGCCTCGACAACATATCACCAAGATACTTTTCTTTCCATTTTGAAAAAAAAAGGAGGGGATATAATGTCACCTTGTGTTATATACACCGGGAGAGAAATAACGAAAGAGCCAGCGGAGAGCGAGCACAAACACGACAGAAATGAGGACGGAATGAGACAGAGACACAGATGAGGAGGGACAGTAAAAAGACAGAGAAAGAAAAAAAAAGGGAGGAAAAGGCATTGGCTTTGTCATGACAGCCCCCCCCCACCCACCCATGGTGGAGAATATGTGTGTTCACATGCTCCAGTAGTCAGGCTGAAAACACAGGCCTGTTGCATTCACTCCAGCAGAGCAATAGCACTCATGGTTGCCTGGTTGGCAAAGAGCTTGTTATCCGCCATCCCTTCATCTGCTTTCGCCGCTTCTTTCCACATCCCATTTTCCCACACCACAAGCATCTGCATTCTGTTTGCTTCAACAAGCCCCCGTGTTTCCTGGCCACCAAGTAACAAGGAAACAAGCAGCGCATTTTTATTTTTCTTGCAAGACACAGGTGAATACAAACAGCTCACCCAAAAAGAGCCCAGGTGGCGTTTGCATCAGGCGAAGCCCCCTGATCCTGAAAATCAAATACAGTCCTGCGGAGCCAACTCTGCTGTGCCCATTGTGCCAGAGCCGTCCTGCTGGTGACAGAAGTGACTTCCCGATCTCAAGAAAAAGGAAATGAACAGAGATAATCTAATGGGCTCGATCAACCGACAAGTGTCAGATGTGGATACACAGGCCGGCATTAGGTGCTGGGTTGACTGAGTATATCCAGTGCTGTGAAAGCCCCGAAAAACAGAGCAGGTCTTCTTCTTGTCTCATTAACTCCAGAAATTTCTACTCTCCCCATTAAATTTCCTGCGCGTCTTTATGTGAATGGGTTTGCAGGAGCCAAGAACAATTGCTGAGTCAATGGGTGGAGGGCAAAATACATAACAAATCATTTCCTGAACACAGAAAGGGAATATAAAGTAAGGTATTGTTTTATAAAGGCACTAAGTAATGGCTGAGTGTTAGTTGTGAAATACTTTACTTTGTTGGAATGATGCCTCTGTTGTTTAACACTGTCTCGTGATAAACTCTGTTGCTTTGCCTGTGAATCCAGGATTAAAATGTCAAAACTTTATTTACGCAAGCAGCTGATTTGGTGGCCACTGGCTTTAAAGGGGAGGTTCGGTTTTTTTTTCAACCTGTTCCTTATTTCCAGCATTTGGTGTGTAGATCTACTCACCCATGAAGGTTTGGAGTAACTTGGAGTCCTTCGGACGCTTTTAGATCCACACGCGATCGGCGTGTATCCATACAACGCAAGGGTTCGGGGCATCCACAACACAGCCTCTAAATAACCATTATCTGCCGCCAAACTCTTTATTTACTATGAACCTCCAGCACTGGTCCCCTGTGAGTCTCGCCAGCCTCGGAGCTAGCGTTTGCTTAGCGAACCGGGAGCGAGTTGTCCTCCTGTTTAATCAACACATCGGTTTCGCTAAGCTAACGCTAGCTCCGAGGCTGCTCGTTAGCCCGCTGAAATCAGCTAGCCTTTAACCGGGTGAACACGCCCGAGCACCGGGACACAGCTGCTTTAGAAGAATCCTGTACCGCGAAGCACCTGGTGAGTGTTCTGCCATGTTGCGCGAAACTAGCCGCGGCAAACTCCGCGTAAACAAACACAGGTGATCGTCAGGTGCTGCTGCTGCGCGCCTCGGTGACGTCACCCCCAGTGAAAGCCCAGGATGTAAACAAAGCAACTCGCTAAGCTAACGCTAGCTCCGAGGCTCACAGGGGACCAGTGCTGGAGATTCATAGTAAATAAAGAGTTTCGCTGCGGATAATGGTTATTTAGAGGATGTGTTGTTGATGCCCCAGTCACTTGCGTTGTCTAAAAGCGTCCGAAGGACTCCAAGTTACTCCAAACCTTTATGGCTGAGTTCTCCTTTAAGTGGCTGTTTGTTTTACACCTCATTCTAATAGTTATTGTCAAATCATCTTACAAAAACTGACCAACATATTAAAAAAAATTAGATGTATCTAAATCTTTCAATTTTATTTCTTTAAAACTGAAAACGTTAAAACACCAGCCATCGTTTCTAACCACCTCAGGGAGCTAACTTTTTCTAATAATTGAGAGTAAATCATTGTTTTGGTGACTTTTCTGCCACCGGAGCACTGAAAGTTTGCAAGTTTGATGACAAGCGAGTTTTCTTTCCTGAGCCTTCAGCTAACCTCACCAATCATGTGCTGCAGAATCAAAAGCTTTACATTGTCAGTTTGAGAATGACGACAAATGTCCACGTCTAAATGAGATTCTGCTCACATAGAGAAAAAGGAAATAAAAAAATAATCGGAGGAGGATGACAAATGGTGATTAAATCCATTGTCTGAAAAATGGCTGCAATCAGTATATGAAATAAAGATTAAGCAACAACGAGCTCTGTTGATTATCAATGTGACCAGAAAAAAAGTCTCACAATTCATGTCACCAAATAGCTCTCCGTCAGTTCATTGTTTCTCTCTGTAATTTCATTCTCCTCTCTTTCTAGCACTTTGATTTCTCATGTGAGGACAAGGCCGCATTCGAAATGAGAAAAGTTCTCCACTGGTGCAACAGCAGAGCTCAGAGCAGAGTGGCACAAGTTGATTGAGCCGATGGTGTGAGCGTCTGAAGCCCTGTAAGCCTTTTTCGACAAAGGTCCCTCAGGGGTTTTCCATGGTTCATGGTGTGCAGGGGCCACACTGACTTCAGCTGACAGGACCCCCCTCAGGTCCCGGCAGCTGCCAGGATGAAGAGACTGCTTCATGGACACATGGTGACAGGAGCTGATGTGGTCGTCCGCGTCCGTCACAGCTTTCATTTCCTACTCTGTGCCATTGATTCCCTCGCTGGGTGACATCAGTGACATTGTCTTTTAATCTGTTGCAAAGAGCTTGACCCGCAGAGCACGTCTTCTGAGGATGAGAACAAACTCTCAGCTACTGCAGCCCAAATGGAAACTATCGCTTTCCCCCCGCCAGTTTCAAGGGGAAAACCTCAGCGTGGTGACACTTCTGGATCTGGGGGTTGTTTTGCTTTTCACAAAGAGAGAATCCCGAGGGGGGGGGGGATAGAAAAGCTGGGCTCCACGGGAAAAAATAGCAAAAAGGTGGGGAAATTGTGAGTGGGTTTAAAGGGGAGGTTGTGAGTGATGAGTTATTAACAGGAGAAAAAAAAATGTTGGAAACCATTAGGCTACAGGGAGGTGTTGACATATCATTTTCTCGTGTGGAATCTGAGAATCACTCTCTGCTCTGAGGAGCAGTCGGCTTCTTCCACGTGTTGTCAAAACGGTTTGACATATTATTCCAGCGTCGAGAACGGGAGGGTGTGCCGGTGTAGACACAAGCCTGCATTTGGCACGCGAAATTAAAGGTCATTTTGAGAAAGTGAAAATTAATGTGAGCTATCAATTTCAGCCTTGAAAAATGTGACATATTTCAGCCTGACACATTTTAATTAGGCCATCAATAGTATGGCAACAGTGGCTAATGGTGCAGAAGACACAACCAGGATAAGTTGCCTTCGCATTAACTGTTGGGGACACATTTGAAATGGCATTTAAAGTAGTGTTTTGACACAAATAGAACGTTTTTCTGTGAAATAAGAAAAATGCTGTCAGTGTGATAAAATATGCATACCTATAGGCGCCTATAGCAATATCAACAGAACTGACTCGTGGTGTAATCTCACTTTGGATTTCAGCTTTATAAGTGATTGTTTGAGCAAATTGGGCCGTCTGAACGGATCAGGCAAACTGTAGGTGATTTAATTAACGTTTTTCCCTGAGAAAAGCAAAACAATCTTCTACGGGCAGGTTTCCGAAAAGAGGAACCTTCTTCATTAGCTGCGCACTCTTTAAACTGTTCCCTGCTTTTGTCACCACCACCACCAACCCCAGCAGCAGCAGTACCGCCGCCCCCCCCCCACACACACACACACACTCCCTTCTACCCAGAGAATAAATAAGATAAAGGAGAGCAATGAACGCGTCCATCATTCAAAGTGGAAAAGGGTAATTTAGCTTGGCCCTCCTGACAGCTTTACAACTTTGCACGCTATTCTATTTTAATTGGCAATCATGAATTAACTGAATGAGAGCCCTGTTGCCGATGTCTTTCTCATTGCAGCTTTTAATTGGGTTGACTTGATGAGTTCCTGAGATAAAACCAGACAATATATTCTCATGATTGGCAACTCGTTTGTTGCCACATAATTAGGCTGCAGACAAATCCAGAACATAACCGTTTCCTCCTCAGCCAGGCTCCCCCCCATCCTTTCATCAGTCACATCTCGCTAGAGTGTAGGGGCGCTACCTGCACTACAGTCAAGTGTTGCGTGTGACGTAATGAATGTTTAGTGCATGTAGCTTTCAACTTGAATGCGTCATGTTTTCATTTGTCTCGAGCAACGTATTGATTCTCCCGTCACTTGGTCAAACGATCCATTTTCTCACCGGCGTCGACAAAATTTTATAAAAGAAACAAGGGAACAGTCAAACGCTGCAACAATCTGATTTGAATAAAATGGCAGCCAGCTCCGACAGAGCATTGAGCGAGTTCTTTTTTTTTTTTTGTTCCTGCTGGTTCCTAATGATTAAGACAATCCCCGAGGCGCCTCAGACTCACCCTACACTTTTACATATAAGGTCAAATGTTCAAAGCTTTTCCTCCGCTCTCACTCCATTTTAAAAATAGGAGGGGGAAAAAAAGGAATTAAACATTAATGGGCTGATGAATAAATATTTTGTGTCTCCAGGACTCAGCACTTTCGCCCATTCCTGCAGCTGCTTTAATTAACTCTTCCTCAAGCCTTTTGTAAATTAACACATCTCTTTCAGTGTCCTTCGACATTGTTTTTCTTTTTTTCTCCTTCCTCTGCTCCTTCTTTTTTTCTAGTCAAAATTAGGCAAAACCGTGCGCATCGATATGGCGCTTAATTATTCGACCTCAGAGTCATTATTTTAACTTACAGCGCACATTTCTCCCTTTAGATGTAAGTCAGACTGTTGGCTTGAGGCGAAACCACACTTGGGATGTTTTTGTACTCTTTAAATAGTATGTAAAATCACTTCAAGATAGAAGACTTTCATCGTATTCAGAAGACTGCAGGCCGGGAACAATAGCATCACTTTTGGACAGTTCAGTGTCTGAGTCCAGGAAACGCATCAAGTTTGTCTCAGTTGAATACCGCTGTCTTATATCCTCGGACTATTTCTGTTTGTATACTTTCAACCATCTTTCACAGGGACACAGATATCTTCCTCCCACATTCCAGATATGAAGCCAAAATATCCAGGATACAAACACCGCCATCTTGCACATTTGGAAGTTTTTGCAGTAATGAATACATGCGCTCGACCAATCAAACATTCAAGACATTCACCTGCTATGCTATGTCTGGACAATTGTCCCTGGGAGGGGGTTGGTGAGAGGTCAATTGCTGCTGTATCAGCAGGACAAAAAAATAAATCAATAAAGTATAACCATGGAGTTTAAGACAAGTTTCCACTACCTGGGCTTGACTTTTTCTCCATTAAAGTCAATTCCTGACTGTCCTGGTGAACCTGTCCTCTTTGCTGTGCCTGCAGAAGACATTTCTCCACAGTCATTTCAGGACTTAATCCTGCATTACTTCCGCTGTCAGTCAGAGTGCAGCTCCTCTTCCTGGCTTATATTGTTTATTCTTTTTTTTTTGCTTTGGCCCATGCTTGCCCCTCAGATTCCGCCCCATCACATCTGCTGGCAAGTGATAAATGTGACATTACTCCATCAGAGGATCATTAAATGTCAGGTCCTGCCGTGACAGCGGAACGTCATGGCAGAAAGTCAATGGCGTGGGGGAGGGGCCGTGCGAGCGGAGGAATCGCCTGGTGGAAGATCCTGCTGCGGAGGATCAATGGCTCATCTAACACCCGCATGCCCACCGCCGAACCAGGCAGGACCACTCACACCATTCACACACTCCCTGCCTGGAGATGAGGCAGTCTAGCAGCTCAGAGATGAGTGTGCACAGCCGGGCGCAAACACTTGTGGTGATTTGTTGATGTATTACAAGAGAGCTGGTGACGAAATGAGGAAAGTTGACTCTCTCATACTTCTGTACTTGCACCAATCAGCCGCAACACGACACACAGGTGACCAGTTTTAATGTTCCTGTCAGTTTGAATAATCAGATTAAAATCAGTTGTCTGAACATGAAGCGAACATATTCTGGATATGGGTGTCGCCATTTTGTGCA